TATTCAAAACTAGAAAAAAAGGTTTTGGCTTCAGTTCTACTTTAAAGTGACACAAACTCAGGAGTTAAATCCTAAAAATATATTCTAGTAACTTAACTATTAACAAAATGTATCTTATTTGTGTATCACTCGGCTGTAGAGCCTCAAATCATTTCTGAATTGGTGCTGACACGGTCCTTGCTTCTGGAGGGTGGCTACCTTTATTCCCCATGGTCCCTGTGTGTGATGTAAAGTTGCCAACACTCCAAGCTCGCTCCTGTGATAAGACTTCAGTACAAATTATCTAACTAAACGTGAGATTGTAGTCCATCACGGGAGCAAGCTTGGAGTGGTGGAGCGATGCCATAGCTGATGTGATAAAAGCTACACTTTATACCATTTTACAGCGGAATACTTCAAGAAGTGTTTTAAGGCCACCTTCTCTGTGAGCTGCAATAGCTACTATAATAACAATTAACAAAGTGCTATAATCATTTTCTGAAATTGAGGAGGCATGGCTCTCAGGAGACATAATGCAGCCCCTTAAAGATTTAATTCAGCCCATTAAACCCACTGGGTCTTCTTACTGGAACATAAAATGCTCAACAGAAAATGGATAAAAGTTTTCCTGTATTAGAAACCCTAAACACTAAATAAAAAAACAACTATGCATGTCCTACAGAAAACATATCACACCGTGGATACATTTAAACATTGTGATTTATTCTGGAACAATGACCTTGTGTGAGCTGTGAATGACAGCGCCAAACAGCCAGACAAGAAGAAGCAATTGAAATAAATAAGTTGCTGGCATATTATTTAATTTGAATAGATGGGCAGAGGGGAGAGCTGCTGGCTGGATTGTCTTGTGCCTGACAGTGAGAATTGAGACAGACAGCTTTATTATGGGGCACGCGCTATTTGCCTATTCAGTCTCCAGTAGAGATGTAGTGGGGGCCACATAATTAATACCAGCTCGCGCAGATCCTGGACATGTGCCAGCATTGTCTCTTCTCTGCTAATGTACAAGCACTTCAGCCCCCTTTATCACGGGCTTCCTCTGGAGGAAACACTCTACAAATCTGCTAATCCCAATCATAACACTACAAAGGAGGAACCTGCAAACCTATACACAGGCTAGCCAAAAAAACACGAGAGAGCAGCCTGAAGAGTGAACAAATCCAGGTCAAAGTTTTATTGTAGAAGGTTTTTTGTATGAAGTACCTTACAGAGTCATCACCAGAAAAATCAATCTGTAAACCTTGAACGTGGGTTGGTATTGGAATAATAACGGTCAGATTGGGAATTGACTGCATGCCTATGGGCATAACAGTAGCATAAAAGGTGTACTTTAAATGCACAATCTTGCTGAGGCGGATAAACAACAGTAACAGGAGGGCTATGAAACCTACATTTCCTGGAGAAAATGCTGCAACAGGTTCGCTCCAGTGCTGGTCATTTGACCAAACACCTACAGCCATGGCCAAAAATATTGGCACCCCTGCATTTCTGTCAGATATTGCACCACTTAATTCAGAAAATTGTTGCAATTACAAACGTTTCGGCATTCTCGTGTTTATTTCTTTTGTTTGTATTGGTATGACACAAAATTAACAGCTTTTTGAGGAAACCAAATTAAATCTTGGTGCAGCCCATCATTCTACTGTTTTCAGAAAAACATATAAGGCCTTTAAAAGAAAAAAAAACAGTCCCTACAATGGGGGGTCACTGATGTTTTGGGGTTGCTTTGCTGCTTTAGGCACTGGATGTCTTGACTGAGTGCATGGCATTATGAAATCTGAAGACTAACAAATAATTCTGGGTTGCAATGTAGGAGCCAGTGTCAGAAAGTTGGGTCTCCGTCAGAGGTCATGGGTCTTACAGCAGGACAATGACCCGAGGCACACATCAAAAAGCACCCAGAAATGGTTTCAGACAAAGTGCTGGAGAGTACTCGACTGGCCAGCAGTGAGTCCAGATCCGACTCCCATACAGCACCTGTGGAGAGATCTCAGAACAGCATTTGGGAAATGGAACCTTCCAATCTGAGAGACTTGGAGCAGTTGGTGAAAGAAGAATGGTCCAAAATTCCTGTAGAGATGTGTAAGAAACTCATTGATGGTTACAGGAAGCCATTGATTTCAGTTAGTTTTTTCCAAGGGCTGTGCTACCAAATATTAATTAAGGGTGCCAATAATTTTGTCCAGTCCATTTTTTGGGAGTTTTGCGTGGAATGTGTCAGATTTGGCTTTTTTTTTTTCTCCACTTTTGTGTCATACCAATACAAACAAACGAAATAAACATGAGAACGCCTAAACATTTGTAATTGCAACAATTTTCTGCGCAAAGTGGAGCATTATCTGACAGAAATGCAGGGGTGCCAATATTTTTGGCCATGACTATAGGTCTTTGGTCACATGATCTCTGCTGGATCTGAATGCTGACCGCCCTTCCTAATAAGCAATCTCATACCTAAAAGTCCTAGGCTTCTGGTTAAGTGAGCAGGACTGGAGAGAATCCGAGGCAGCATTGTTCCCTGGGGAGGAAATCATTTTAGCCTATTTTTGACTCTTACTTATCAGTCTCATCCAGACAGTTATCTCAGACTCTCTTTAGGTCGACTTTAAATTGATATCAGCAGTGTATAAAATTGAATCTCCAGCTCACTGGACTTCTTACCTTCACGTTGTCAGGAAGCAACCCTCCAGGGTGTTTATCCATGTACTGACATAAATCTGTGTGCTGTAATACAAGTGAAACAACAGTAGAATTATTCTTTCTGCAGCTCAGATACAAACATTTAAACTTACATAAAAATAACAGATTTTAACAAGCTTGGAAAATAATTATTCACATTTTAGGTAGCAGAGCCAGGTTTATGGTCAGGTGACTATGTGGGGTTCAACAGATACCCTGCTACTCATTGGTATTTCTAATAATCTGTATCTTCACCCTTAAAAATTATTAGAATAGTGTATTTTGTTCCTCCTAGAATTACAGTTTTGTATTATTTACTTGTATTCTCTCCCTGTACAGCAGGAGTGTGAATCTATAGCGCTGTCCTAACTCCTGCCTGAGCTCTGTGCTGGTAGAAGACAAACAAAAAACTTTATATAGAAAAGGTACGGTCAGGATTACATGAAAGGAAACTAAAGGCTTTGTAACGGACAGTTTTAAGGCCGGTTACCAGCCCTGAGCTCAGGCAGGAAACCGGTCAGTCTCCATAAGTGCTTCACAGCTTGACACTGAACTAAACTTTCTGCTTTGACCTGGACAGAATACAAGACTGCGCTATTATACCAATTTAAGAATAGTGTTTATGATTGTAACTAATGCCCATTGATGAGTGATTCACTTTAAGGGTCAGCTCAGACTTCAAGTTGCTTATTGTGTAACTGGTTTGATTGCAGCCACCTTTCAGCAAGACTTCCAGCCATAGTGGCCGATAGTCACTAATTACTATATGGGTCAA